AGAGGGATTCTTGATTCAGTTTGTGCCTCCTATCTTGGCCTGTAGGAATCACACATGATTATATTAAGCAATGCACTCATGTAATCACCAGGGAGGCAGATCACAAACTGCTAAAGTCTTAGTAAGCGCTGCCCAACACACATGATTCCAAACAGTCAATTGTGGACAGCAGAAGATGTATGTATCTAGAGGGATTCTTGATTCAGTTTGTGCCTCCTATCCTGGCCTGCAGGAGCCACAAATGATTTATATTCAGCATTGCACTCATGTAATCACCAGGGAGGTGGATCACAAACTGCTAAGGTCTGGTTAAGTGTTGCCCAACACACATGATTCCAAACAGGCAATTTCGGACAGCAGAATACATACAGTATGTATCTAGAGGGATCCTTGATTCAGTTTGTGCCCTCTGTCCTGGCCCACAGACATGGTGCTCCCCATACCATACAGTGCAGAGAAGCAGAGCCATGTTTACACTCTCCAGAGTCAGAGAGATAACAGCGGTTCAAGCGCAGGAAAGGAGAGACAAGTAAGAGGTTTTATGTGGAAGGTGGTTGAATATCCTCTGCTGGAGGATCCGGAGTTCTGAAAGCACGATTATCCGTTACGGAAAGAAAAGATAAGTTGGCGGCATTAAGCTGCATTAAGGAGGTCAGCGCGCTCCGTGCCTGCGATGTTCAGGACTTTACGCATCAAAACACAGTCCCAGCTTCAAAAGATCCGAGAATCATGGAGAGGCTTCACAGCAAACACATTCCTTTTCATGCGGCTCTTTGAAGAGGAGCAGTGATCTTTTTAGTCCCCGGTGCGCCCCCGGTGTGTGTGCGTGGGTCCCAGGCCTGGAGCTCCCTCTACCTCCCGTCATGGGGGGTCTGAAAGAGGAGCTGTAACGGTTTGGGATCATTTTTTATTTTATACTTTTAGTTTGACGTTTCTTCTTTTTTTTTTTCTTTTTTTTTATATCCATTTTTTTTTTTAAGCCCTTCGCCTACAGGGCACTTATACCCCCTTCCTGCCCAGGCCACTTTTCAGCTTTCAGCTCTGTCACACTTTGAATGACAATTGCACGGTCATGCAACATTGTACCCATATGAAATTTTTATCACTTTTTTTTAGACAGATAAAACCTTATTTTGGGGGTATTTAATGACCTCTGGGATTTTTATTTTTTCTTAAACAAACCAAAAACCACAGAAATTTGTGAAAAAAAGTTTTTTTTAGTTTTTGTTATACAATTTTGTAAATAAGTGATTTTTCTCCTTCACTGATGTGCGCTAATGAGGCTGCAGTGATGGGCAATGATAGGCTGCACTGATGGGCACTGATAGGTGGCACTGATGGACACTGATGAGGAGACACTGGTAGGTTGCACTGTTGGGCATTGACAGGCATCACTGATGGGCACTGAAACGCAGCACTGATACATGACACTGATACATGACACTGATATATGGCACTGATAGGCGGCACCGACTGGCACTGATAGGCGACACTGACTGGCAGCACTGATAGGTGGCACTGACTGGCACTGATGGGTGATATTGAAAGGCAGCTCAGATGGGCACTGATATGTGGCAATGATGTGGCACTGATGAGCACTGACTGCTGGCACTGATGAGCACTGACAGGTGGCACTGCTGGGGCCACACTGATCATCAGGGCACACTGATCATCAGTGCCCTGATGATCAGTGTACATGTCCCCTCCGTGGAAAGCTGATTACCGGCTCTCCTCTCCTCTGTCAGTGTGACAGCTCGAGAGGAGAGAAATGCTGATAACCAGCATTTCCCTGTTTACATGTGATCAGCTGTGATTGGACACAGCTGATCACATGACCGAGCCAACATCTTCGGCTCTTTCCGTGATCCGCTGTGTCCGAGGGACACAGCGCACCGCCGATTGCCGCGCTGTGCGCTCCCTGAGCCGCGCATGCGCAGTGAGAATGGTAGGACGTCATGTGACGTCCTCCCAGAACGAGAGAACCACCTTGCACCCGTCATTGTACTATAGGACGGGAGGGAGGTGGTTAAATAACAAATTATTAGATATGTAAATTGCTTTTCTTTGGGGGACTTTCTTTTGGCAATATCCTCTTGAAAAATTATTTTTTCTGTGCAATCTATACCGCCATTTGTAAACGCTATAACTTTCACGTAAACCAATTAATGTACATATATTGGGATTTTTTTTTTAGCAAAGACACGGAGCAGAATACATGTTGCTTTTAAATTTATAATAAAATTGGATTTTTAACATTTTTTTACTGGACATGTTTAATAGCAAAAAGTCCAAAAATATTGTTTTTGTTTCTCAAAATTGTCGGTCCTTTTTATAGCACAAAAAAATCACTGTACTGGTGTCACTGGAGGGGGTGGGGGGATGCCAGTGACACCAAATCAGTTCCTCCCAGTGTCAGAATCTCCGCCGCAGTCCCGCAGTCCCACTATAAGTGGCTGGTCGCCGTCATTAATAGTAGAAAAAAAAAATCCCAGTATCTTTACCGCCATTTGTAGACGCTATAATTTTCATGTAAACCAGGCCTTTTGGCTAAGATCAAGTGTAGTATCTGTTCTTATCAGTGTCCAGTGGGGGTGCTCCCGACCATTCTAGCTTTGCGGGGATGGCTGTTGTATAGTACCCTCACTGGTATGATGGGGGTCCGGAAGGCTGGACCGGAGGGACAGAAACCAGGGGGCGCCACGATACGCTCTGGGACCTTGGGAGTAATTCCTCTGGGAAAGCTGGAAAGACCCAGTACCTCCTGATTTGGACGGATCTACCTTGGTCTGGCCTGGGGCTGGGGACGCAAAAAGTCCGCAAACTCAGTGCCCCCTGGGGAAGACGCTCTCAGGGGTGTCACTAGTAACACTTGGGTGTGGGACCCCACGGTGTGAAGATGACACATGGCCACTGTTTTTCACTTCTTTTTGCACAGCGCCCTAAGGACCAGGTCCAGGGCAATTTTTGCTACAGGCCTCAGGGCCTGGTCTGTGCACTATTAGGCACGGTACCACTTTTTTTATTTTTTATTTATTTATTTAACCACTCCCACGTTTTGTCACTTTTTCTGTTCTTATGTGTGTGTTTTTCACGGATGGAGGGTGTGGGTCCTCGGGCCTTACCTGAAGTCTAGGGGGAGGATGTGTGGCCCTACGGTTCCTTCCTCCCCTGATCCCTAGGGGGTTTTCTCTCCGGGAGAACCCCCTTGCCTAGTACTGGATGTCCGGCTTCGGCTGGGCATAAGGAACGGTGGTCCACCAGGCCTTTTGGCCAGGAGGACCAAATGGGAACCTTGTCCCTGTCAGGAGCTTCGTGCCCCGGGGGATCGGGTGAACGGTCCAACCCTTCCGGGGGTAGGACAAACACACCCCTAAGTGCACTTTTTCGTGTGGTGTTTTGCACTTGCACATTTTTTGTGAACACTTACGGGTTTTTCGTTGTAGTTTGCACGTTTGCGGACTTAAAAAAAAAAAAAAATTAATTTACACATATTGGGATTTTTTTTTAGCAAAGACATGGAGCAGAATACATTTTGGCTGAAATTAAATTTATGATGAAATTGTGTTTTTTACATTTTTTTACTGGACATGTTTAATAGCAAAAAGTCCAAAATATTGTTTTTTTTCTCAAAATTGTATTTTTTTCATAGTGAAAAAAATTAAAACCACACAGGCAATCAAATACCACGAAAAGAAAGCTCCATTCGTGGGAAAGAAGGTCGTAAATTTAATTTGGGGTGTGGTGTTGCATGACTGCGCAATTGTCAGTTAAAGTAACGCAGCGCTATATTGCAAAAAATGGCCTACTCAGGAAGGGGGGGAATCCTCTGGAGGGCAAGGAGGTAATATTAGCAACCATTTTTACTGAATGAAACTGATCCATTCAGTGTCTTTTGTTGCGATTAGTTGTGGTTGGCCAAAACTCATCAGATGAAATAGATGGGCTGTGGTTGGCCAAAGCTCATCACATGACACAGATGGGCTGTGGTTGGCCAAAGCTCATCACATGAAATAGATGGGCTGTGGTTGGCCAAAACTCATCAGATGAAATAGATGGGCTGTGGTTGGCCAAAGCTCATCACATGACACAGATGGGCTGTGGTTGGCCAAAGCTCATCACATGAAATAGATGGGCTGTGGTTGGCCAAAGCTCATCACATGACACAGATGGGCTGTGGTTGGCCAAAGCTCATCACATGACACAAATGGGCTGTGGTTGGCCAAAGCTTATCACATGACACAGATGGGCTGTGGTTGGCCAAAGCTCATCACATGACACAGATGGGCTGTGGTTGGCCAAAGCTCATCACATGACACAGATGGGCTGTGGTTGGCCAAAGCTCATCACATGACACAGATGGGCTGTGGTTGGCCAAAGCTGATCACATGACACAGATGGGCTGTGATTGGCCAAAACTCATCAGATGAAATAGATGGGCTGTGGTTGGCTAAAGCTCATCACATGACACAGATGGGCTGTGATTGGCCCTGTCTGTACCATGGGACCGCTGTGACCTATCACAGCTAACAACACACTTGTATACAATGGATGGCATGAAAGGAAGCCGTCCATTGTATGCTCTTGTCATGTGATCTGCTGGGATCGTTTATATAAACAGAAAAAGACAAATGAAATACAATTTTCCACGGTTGGTTGAACCCATCAGCCAGGAAAATCGAGTCTGGTGAACAGGGGTGGACTGACAAATCATGGGGCCCCCAGGCAATAGGGGATCATGGGCCCCCTGTGCCCTTGCCCACACTCAAAGCACACCCAAAAAAGCCTATAAAAAGGTACCAGGGGAATTTAATGGGGCCCCCTACTGACCCCAGGCCCTTGGGGCAGTGCCCGAGTGTTCGAATGGTCAGTCCGCCCCTGGTGGTGAATGCTCATTAGTTCTAAGCACCCCCACTTGTTGTTTTTTTAATGAATAAACCAATAACCTATTGCCATCCTTACTGTCCATCTATGAGTATTGTGTGCTGTCTGTGATGTGGCAGGAAGCGTACTCCGTGGCCCGTCAGTTCAATCTCATCCCTCCGGTGTGTGAACAAGCCGAATATCACCTGTTTCAGCGGGAAAAGGTGGAGACTCAAATGCCGGAGCTGTATCATAAAATAGGTGAGTGTTCATTCCAAGGCCTGTCTCCTGTATACTCCAGACTTCCCTTCTCCATATACTGTGCTTTACGTGACATATTCTGCCCCACTCCATATACTGTGCTTTACGTGACATATTCTGCCCCACTCTATATACTGTGCTTTACGTGACATATTCTGCCCCACTATATATACTGTGCTTTACGTGACATATTCTGCTCCACTCCATATACTGTGCTTTACGTGACATATTCTGCCCCACTCCATATACTGTGCTTTACGTGGCATATTCTGCCCCACTCCATATACTGTGCTGTATGTGACATACTCTGCCCCACTCCATATACTGTGCTTTACGTGACATATTCTGCCCCACTGCATATACTGTGCTTTACGTGACATATTCTGCCCCACTATATATACTGTGCTTTACGTGACATATTCTGCCCCACTCCATATATTGTGCTTTACGTGAAATATTCTGCCCCATTCCATATACTGTGCTTTACGTGACATATTCTGCCCCACTCCATATATTGTGCTTTACGTGACATATTCTGCCCCACTCCATATACTGTGCTTTAAGTGACATATTCTGCACCATTCCATATATTGTGCTTTACGTGACATATTCTGCCCCACTCCATATACTGTGCTTTACGTGACATATTCTGCCCCACTCCATATACTGTACTTTACGTGACATATTCTGCCCCACTCCTTATACTGTGCTTTATGTGACATATTCTGCCCCACTCCATATACTGATCTTTACGTGACATATTCTGCCCCACTCCATATACTGTGCTTTAAGTGACATATTCTGCACCATTCCATATATTGTGCTTAACGTGACATATTCTGCCCCACTCCATATTCTGTGCTTTACGTAATATATTCTGCCCCACTCCATATACTGTGCTTTATGTGACATATTCTGCCCCACTCCATGTACTGTGCTTTACGTGACATATTCCGCCCCACTCCATGTACTGTGCTTTAAGTGACATACTCGGACTGCCCAATGACATATACTGTGTTTTAAGTGACATATCCAGACTGCCTTGCTCTATATACTGTGCTTTAAATGACATACTCAACAGCTCAACTCCATATACTGTGCTCTAAATGACATACTCCGATTGTCCAATGACATATACTGTGCTTTAAGTGACGTACTCCAGACTGCCTTGCTTTATATACTGGGCTTTAAATTACATGCTCGACAGCTCAACTCCATATACTGTGCTTTCGGTGACATACTTGGACTGTCCAATGATATATACTGTGCTTTAAGTGACATACTACAGACTGCCTCGCTCTATATACTGTGCTTTAAATGACATACTCAACATCTCAACTCCATATACTGTGCCCAATGACATATACTGTGCTTTAAATGACATACTCAACATCTCAACTCCATATACTGTGCCCAATGACATATACTGTGCTTTAAGTGATATACTCCAGACTGCCTCCCTCTTCATACTGTGCATTAAATGACATACTCTCCAGACTGCCTCACTTCACATCCACTTGAAGAACAACATTTTTTCTGGCGCTTTTTGTTTACATGTAAAAATCTGTATTTGTTTCTAAAAAAATACTCGGAACCCGCAAACACAGTGTATTTTTTAAAGCAGAGGCCCTAGAGAATAAAATGCAAATTTTGTTTATATCACATGGTATTTGCTTTATTGGTTTTTAGGAAAAAATACACTTTTTTGAATTTTAATGCATAAAAACACAACACGATACCCAATTGCTTGGAAACATTTAAAAGATGATGTTGTGCCGAGTAAATAGACTGCGCTATCCTGTATACTGTGCGTTACGCAACATTTTCCAGACTGCCCTATCCTGTATACTGTGCGTTACGTGACATTTTCCGGACTGCCCTATCCTGTATACTGTGCGTTACGTGACATTTTCCGGACTGCCCTATCCTGTATACTGTGCATTACGTGACATTTTCCGGACTGACCTATCCTGTATACTGTGCGTTATGTGACATTTTCCGGATTGCCCTATCGGTATACTGTGCGTTACGTGACATTTTCCAGACTGCCGTATCCTGTATACTGTGCATTACATGACATTTATCAGACTGCCCTGTCCTGTATACTGTGCGTTACGTGACATTTTCCAGACTGCCCTATCCTGTATACTGTGCGTTACGTGACATACTCCTGACTGCCCTATCCGGTATACTGTGCGTTACGTGACATTTTCCAGACTGCCCTATCCTGTATACTGTGCGTTACGTGACATTTTCCAGACTGCCCTATCCTGTATACTGTGCGTAACGTGACATTTTCCAGACTGCCCTATCCTGTATACTGTGCGTTACGTGACATTTTCCAGACTGCCCTATCCTGTATACTGTGCGTTACGTGACATTTTCCAGGCTGCCCTATCCTGTATACTGTGCGTAACGTGACATTTTCCAGACTGCCCTATCCTGTATACTGTGCATTACGTGACGTTTTCCAGGCTGCCCTATCCTGTATACTGTGCTTTATGTGACATTTTCCAGGCTGCCCTATCCTGTATACTGTGCGTTACGTGACATTTTCCATACTGCCCTATACGGTATACTGTGCTTTACGTGACATTTTCCAGGCTGCCCTATCCTGTATACTGTGCGTTACGTGACATTTTCCAGACTGCTCTATCCTGTATACTGTGCATTACGTGACATTTTCCATACTGCCCTATACGGTATACTGTGCTTTACGTGACATTTTCCGGACTGCCCTATCCGGTATACTGTGCGTTACGTGACATTTTCCAGTCTGCCCTATCCGGTATACTGTGCGTTACGTGACATACTCCTGACTGCCCTATCCTGTATACTGTGCGTTACGTGACATTTTCCAGGCTGCCTTATCCTGTATACTGTGCGTTACGTGACATTTTCCAGACTGCCCTATCCTGTATACATTGTGCATTACGTGACGTTATTTTCCAGACTGCCCTATCCTGTATACTGTGCTTTACGTGACATTTTCCAGGCTGCCCTATCCTGTATACTGTGCGTTACGTGACATTTTCCAGACTGCCCTATCCTGTATACTGTGCTTTACGTGACATTTTCCAGGCTGCCCTATCCTGTATACTGTGTGTTTCGTGACATTTTCCATTCTGCCCTATCCTGTATACTGTGCGTTACGTGACATACCCTGCCTGCCCTATCCTGTATACTGTGCGTTACGTGACATACTCCTGACTGCCCTATCCTGTATACTGTGCATTTTACGTGACATTTTCCAGACTGCCCTATCCTGTATATCGTTACGGTAGACTGTCCTGTTACGTGACATTTTCCAGACTGCCCCTGTATACTGTGTGTGATAAGTGACATACTCCTGACTGCCCTATCCTGTATACTGTGCGTTACGTGACATTTTCCAGACTGCCCTACTACTGTGCGTTACGTGACATTTTCCAGGGCTGCCCTATCCGGTTACTGTGTGATAAGTGACATGTTCTAGACTGCCCATCCTGTATACTGTGCGTTATGTGACATTTTCCAGACTGGCCTATCCTATATACTATGTGATAAGTGACATACTCCTGACTGCCCTATCCGGTATACTGTGCGTTACGTGACATTTTCCAGTATACTGCCCTATCCGGTATACTGTGCGTTACGTGACATTTTCCAGACTGCCCTATCCGGTATACTGTGCGTTACGTGACATTTTCCAGACTGCCCTATCCGGTATACTGTGCGTTATGTGACATTTTCCAGACTGCCCTATCCAGTATACTGTGCGTTATGTGACATACTCCTGCCTGCCCTATCCAGTATACTGTGCGTTACGTGACATACTCCTGCCTGCCCTATCCAGTATACTGTGTGTTACGTGACATGTTACTCCTGCCTGCCCATCTCCATATATTGTGTTTGAGGTTCATACCCCGGACTGCTCATCTTGATATCATTGGTTCCAGGTGACATCCCCCAGCCTTCCCCGGTCCATAGATCGTGCTTTAAGAGACCTGTTCTGTCCGGCTCCGCTCTGTATCTTGTGCTGGCTGTGACATTCTCCACCATGCTGTATACACAGTAGACCTCTTCTCTTCCAGGCGTGGGCTCCATGACGTGGTCTCCTCTGGCCTGCGGTCTGATCACCGGAAAATATTGCGACACCATCCCCGAAAAATCCAGAGCTTCATTCAAGGTGAGTGTGGAAGGCTGAATGAGAGAGATCGAGGTGTGGCTCCTGGTGCATTGTGCTAGTCCTTACAGTTCAATAGACTCCTCCCCTGTACTGAAATAGCTTGTTCTGATTGGAGGACTTCCAGTATCTTTTAGCTCATTCCTCCCCAGCTTGACCGTCCCTGGCCACGCCTCGTTCTTTCAATTCTAGAGGCTCAACATAGCATGTGGGCGTTACCTAGGGCGGTCTCCATGCAAATACAGCAAGCCTAGGAACGCCCACTCCTCCAGACTGACACCCACCCATCAAGCCACTGTGATATAACTCCTCCCCAGACCCAGCCCACTCTGTGCATCAGAGCTGAGGGCTATTGAGAGGAGTACTGGGGCGGGGAGCTATGTACAGCCCCTTGCCGGCCCCTCCCATCAGCCATGATCTGCCTGCATTGCATAGAGAAGCACAGAGGCAATGATGTCACTGGGCCCAGGGAGAACTGGATGTAATGACAATGGAAACGGTAATAAAAGAAACTGGTCAGCATGCTGAAGAGGGGAGAGAGAAGGAACCAGGGAAGGATAAAGAAGTATATTATACATCAGCTTAGGGCCGGTTCTCACCATAGAAATGCAGTCAGGGTGCGGTCCGGATGAGCTTCTGCATGTGCGTTTTTGATGTGGTTTGGTGCATTTTTTTACGTATTCCAGTGCATTCTTGATGCATTTTTAATGTGTTAAAAGTGCATTTTTGATACGTTCTGAAGCATTTTTTTTACACATTCCGGTGCATTTTCCATGCATTTTTAATGTGTTTCAGTGCATTTTTTATGTGTTTTTTGATACGTTCTGATGCAATTTTTTATGCTTTCCGGTGCACCCTTTTTTTTTTATGCATTTTAATGTGTTCCAGTGCATTTTTTTATGCGTTTTTTTTAATACGTTCTAAAGCATTTTTTATGCATTTTGGTGCATTTTTTGTGTTCCAGTGCATTTTTGATGCGTTTTTGATGCGTTTTTGATGCGTTTCAGTGCATTTTTTATACACTCTGAAGCATTTTTTTATGCATTCCGGTGCATTTTTGATGCATTTTTAAGGTGTTCTAGTGCATTTTTTATGCGTTTTTGATATGTTGTAGTGCATTTTTTTACGCATTCCAGTGCATTTTTGATGTATTGTGTTAATTTTTGTGTTTTTCCACGTTTCTAAAGCATTTTTTTACGATTCCAGTGCATTTTTGTTTTTGATACGTTCTGAAGCATTTTTTTACGCATTCCGGTGCATTTTTGATGCGTTTGTGATACGTTTCGGTGTATTTTTTTTTTTTTTTTCCTCCTCTTACTTCACCTTAATTAAGGACATGCGCATTCCGGTGCATTTTTGATGCATTTTTTTTTTTAATGTGTTCCAGTGCATTTTTTATGCGTTTTTGAAACGTACTGGTGCATTTTTTTTACGTGTTCCAGTGCATTTTTGATACATTCTGATGCTTTTTTACGCATTCCGGTGCATTTTGTATTTTTAATGTGTTCCAGTGCATTTTTTATGCGTTTTTGATACGTTCCAGTGCATTTTTGATACATACTGATGCTTTTTTTATGCTTTCCGGTGCATTTTTTATGTATTTTTAATGTGTTCTAGTGCATTTTTTGATGCGCTTGTGATACGTTCCGGTGTATTTTTTTCTTTCTTTCTTCTCCCTCTTACTTCACCTTAATTAAGGACATGTGTGTTCCGGTGCATTTTTGTGGTGTGTTTAGGTGCATTCTGGTGCATTTTTCATGCATTTTTAATGTGTTCCAGCGCATTTATTATGCGTTTTTGATACGTTCTGATGATGCAATTTATTACGCTTTCCGGTGCTTTTTGTATGCATTTTAATGTGTTCCAGTGCATTGTTTATGCGTTTTTAATATGTTTCTAAAGCATTTTTTACGCATTCCGGTGCATTTTTTTTTTTGTGTTCCTGTGCATTTTTGATGCTTTTTTGATGCGTTTCAGTGCATTTTTTATACATTCTGAAGCATTTTTTTATGCATTCCAGTGCATTTTTGATGCATTTTTAATGTGTTCTAGTGCATTTTTTATGCGTTTTTGATATGTTGTAGTGCAGTTTTTTACGCGTTCCAGTGCATTTTTGATGCATTTTTAATGTGTTCCAGTGCATTTTTTATATGTTTTTGATATGTTCTGAAGCATTTTTTTTACGCATTCCGGTGCATTTTTGATGCGCTTGTGATACGTTCCGGTGTATTTTTTTTTCTCTTTCTTCCTCCTCTTACTTCACCTTAATTAAGGACATGTGCATTCCGGTGCATTTTTCATGCATTTTTAATGTGTTCCAGTGCATTTTTTTTTATGCGTTTTTGAAACGTTCTGGTGCATTTTTTTTTACGCGTTCCGGTGCTTTTTTGATGTGTTCCAGTGCATTTTTTATACATTCTGATGCTTTTTTTATGCATTCCGGTGCATTTTGTATGTATTTTTAATGTGTTCTAGTGCATTTTTTATCCGTTTTTGCGTTTATGCGTCTTTCAAAATGTTAATGTCAAATGGAATAAATTTGAATGGAATAAAAAAGAATAGAATAGAAAAAAAAAACTATAGAATAGAGTAAAATCAAAAGAATATAACTGTCTTCTGAAATTTGAATTTTGAATAGAATAAAATGGAATATGGAACATATTAGACTAGAAAAGAATAACAAAGAATCGAACAGAATAGCGAAGAACAATAGAATAGAATTCAATAGAATAAAATAGAACAAAATAGACTATAAACGTCTTCCAAAATTCGAATTTTGATTAGAATAAATTCAAATAGATTAGAAAAGAATAGAAAATAAGAAAATAGAATACAAACAATAGAATAGACTAGAAAAAAATATAAACGTCTTCCGAAATTCAAATTTTGATGAAAAAAAAATTAGAATTTGAATAGATTAGAAAAGAATAGAAAATAAGATAATAGAACAGAAAAGAATAGAATAGAATACAATAGAAAAAAAACAATAGAATAGACTAGAAAAGAATATAAACATCTTCCGAAATTCAAATATTGATTAGAATAAATTCAAATAGATTAGAAAAGAATAGAAAATAAGAGAACAGAATAGAAAAAAACAATAGAATAGACTAGAAAAGAATATAAACGTCTTCCAAAATTCGAATTTCGATTAGAATAAATTCAAATTCAAATAGATTAGAAAATAATAGAAAATAAGAGAACAGAATAGAAAAAAAACAATAGAATAGACTAGAAAAGAACATAAACGTATTCCGAAATTCAAATTTTGATGAGAATAAATTCAAATTCGAATAGATTAGAATAGAAAATAAGAGAATAGAATAGAAAAAAACAATAGAATAGACGTCTTCCAAAATGCTAATTTTGATGAGAATAAATTTGATTTTGAACAGATTAGAATAGAATAGAAAACAAGAGATCAGAATAGAAAAGAATAGAATAGAAAGAATATCCCCGTCTTCCGAAATTCGAACAGAATAAATTCAAATGCCGATTTGAATTTTCTAAATTCGGTTGAATTGAATTTGGAAAACGAAACGTATTCTGCAAATGAATTCAATGAGTTTCACTAAACAAAATGATTAAAGTAACGGATGGAAACAAATGTTTTTGTTGTGCACATGTCTGCTACAGAACCCCTTCCACCATGGAGAAGGGTAGGTGTCCTGTAGTCCTAGCACACTTCCTGGCTCCTGCCTAGGCTCTGCCCAGCACTCATGTATTGTAGGGGGTGGGGACTGATGTGTTGTTTGGTTTAGGGGTATCACTGGCTGAAGGAAAAAGCTGGGAGTGAAGAAGGCAAGAAGCAGCACTCCAAGGTGAAAGACCTCCATCCCATCGCCGAGCGTCTGAAGTGCACGGTCACCCAGCTGGCCATCGGTAAGGAGCGGTCCGATGCGCTCACCTTGTCCCTGTCCTGTCTGTTCTGTCATGACTGGGGTCTCTGTCTCACCAGCGTGGTGCCTGCGCAGCGAGGGAGTCAGTTCTGTGTTGCTGGGCGTCTCCAATTGTGACCAGTTAATGGAGAATCTGGGATCCATACAGGTAAGAACGCTCAGTGTTGTACTCCTCCCTCCATAGACCACAGCAAAATTATTTTGTGAAGTGCTGAGCAGACTGTTGGCGCCATATAAATCCTGTATAATAATAATAATAATATATAAATCCTGAATAATAATAATAATATATAAATCCTGTAATAATAATAATAATAATAATAATATATAAATCCTGTATAATAATAATAATAATATATAAATCCTGTATAATAATAATAATAATAATAATAATATATAAATCCTGTATAATAATAAATATATATAATCCTGTATAATAATAATATATAAATCCTGTATAATAAATAATATATAAATCCTGTATAATAATAATAATAATAATAATAATAATATATAAATCCTGTATAATAATAATAATAATAATATATAAATCCTGTATAATAATAATATATAAATCCTGTATAATAATAATTATTATTATTATTATTATAATACAGTATTTATAGAGCGCCAATAGTTCGCTCAGCGCTGTACATTACAAAGGGGGACAGAACATGTGACAGAACAATACCAATACAATGCAAAACATGAGGGGATTGAGGGCCCTGCTCTTTCGAGCTTACAATCTAGGAGGGAGGGGATGGTGGCACAGGAGGAGATAGCTGTGGGGGGTGGAGTGGTAGGAAGAGTGGAGGAGGTCGGCAAGTTAGCAGGGGGTGGGGTAGGCTTCCCTGAAGAGATGGGTTTTCAGGGTGCACCTAAAGGAGAGGAGAGTAGGTGATAATCTGATGGGTTGGGGCAGGGAGTTCCAGAGGATGGGTGACACCCTGGAGAAGTCCTGGAGGCGGGCATGAGAGGAGGAGACCAGGGAACTAGAGAGAAGGAGGTCTTGTGAGGAGTGGAGTGTGCGTGTTGGGTATTAGGTCAGTGATGTAGTTCGGGGCAGTATGGTGGACAGCTTTGTACGTCAGTGTTAGGATTTTGAATTTGATCCGTTGCGCAATCGGAAGCCAGTGGAGGGATTGGCAGAGGGGGGTGGCGGAGATGGAGCGGTTGGAAAGGAGAATGAGTCTGGCAGCCGTATTCAGGATGGACGAAGCGGGGATAGCCAGCGGTGAGGCAGGCCAGTGAGGAGGGAGTTGCAGTAGTCGAGTCGTGATATGATGAGGGAGTGGATGAGCTGTTTAGTGGTTTTTGGGGTTAGGAACGTGCGGATTTTGGTGATGTTGCGGAGGTGGAGTCTGCACGAGTTTGTTAAAGATTGGACTTGGGGCTGGAAGGATAGGTTGGAGTCCAGAATGACACCAAGTACTCTGGCCTGCGGGGCGGGTTTGATGGTGGCGTTGTTGGACGTGACGGAGAAGTCAATGGGGGGTGGTGTCCGGGCTGGGGGGAAGACAAGGAACTCGGTTTTGGAGAGGTTCAATTTAAGGAAGTGGAGCGACATCCAGTCTGATATGTGTGATTCGGGCGGAGACTGAGGGGGTGAGGTGGGGGGTTGAGAGATAGATTTGTGTGTCGTCGGCATAGAGGTGGTAGTTGAAGCCGTGAGAGTGTATGAGTTGGCCAAGGGAGGAGGTGTAGATGGAGAAGAGAAGGGGCCCGAGGACAGAGCCTTGAGGGACCCCAACAGAGAGGGGAGTGAGGGGGGAGGTGGTAGCATCATAGATAACGCTGAAGGAGCGTTGTGACAGGTAGGATGAGAGCCAGGAGAGAGCAGAGTCTCTGAGGCCGAGGGAGTGTAGTTTTTTGATGAGGAGGGGGTGGTCGACTGTGTCGAAGGCCGCAGAGAGGTCAAGGAGTAGGAGCACTGAATAGTGGCCATTAACTTTGGCGGTTAGCAGGTCGTTGGAGAGTTTGAGTAAGGCGGTTTCGGTGGAGTGTAGGGGACGGAAGCCGGACTGTAGGGGATCGAGGAGGTTGTTGTATATAATATTATATAAATCCTGTATAATTATAATATATATAAATCCTGTATAATAATAATAATAATATATAAATCCTATATAATAATAATAATATATAAATCCTGTATAATAATAATATATAAATCCTGTATATAATAATAATATATAAATCCTGTATAATAATAATAATATATAAATCCTGTATAATAATAATAATATATAAATCCTGTATAATAATAATAATATATAAATCCTGTATAATAATAATAATATATATAAATCCTGTATAATAATAATAATAATATATAAATCCTGTATAATAATAATAATAATATATAAATCCTAATATATATAAATCTGTAATAATAATATATAAATATATAAACCCTGTATAATAATAATAATAATATAAATCCTGTATAATAATATATAATATATAAATCCTGTATAATAATAATAATATATAAATCCTGTATATATAAATCCTGAATAATAATAATATATAAATCCTGTATAATAATAATAATATATAATATATAAACCCTGTATAATAATAATAATAATGTATAAATCCTGTATAATAATAATAATAATTATTATTATACAGTATTTATAAAGCCAACAGTTCGCTCAGCGCTGTACAATACAATGGGAGACAATACATATGACAGTACAATAACAATACAATGTGATACACGAGGGGTTCGAGGGCCCTGCTCCTTGGAGCTTACAATCTAGGAGAATATATAAATCTTGTATTATAATAATAATAATAAAAAAATAATAATAATAATATAGAAATTCTGTATAAAGTTTCAGGAAAGGAGGAGGTTTTAGGGGTACCTAGTGACTTGGAGGTGGGATTACAGGGAGGGTCAGTGTGAAGACCAGTGTTTCTGAACCCCTGCTGTAACTAACAGGAGTCTAAAGGGTGGGAAGTGAGAAGCCTCTTAGGTCAATACAAGGTCCATTGGTGAGAAGAGCAGGAAGGTCCCTGTTGGGCCAGAGATGAAGGTGCAAGCCCAAAGTTCCACCATAACTAGACTGTTTGAGTTGATCATTTCAAAGCTCCTGCCATGATGACTGGAGACAGAACCCATCCTTTGTATCTTCCATTGTGTTTCAGGTTCTGACCCATCTGACTCCACAGGTCGTAACTGAGATTGACCAAATTCTCGGCAACAAACCCAACATAAAGAAAGACTCTCGTGCGTGAGGAGCTCCTCGGCACACCCTGGAGCCGCCGCGTGTTCTCCCAGGCAAGGGGACATAGGACATATGAAATTTCGCTCACCTCGTGCATGGTTCCCCCACTCTGGCAGTGCTGAGAGAGCGGGAGAACATTTAACCAGCAATAAGGGGAGGAAAATCAGCCGCCTGCTTAGTTCTCTAGGGTCAGTACATGCATTACTTCATGTCACCCTGCTAGGGGAGGGGCAAAGGATTCAAGATGTATCTAGCGAAGTGCAGAAAAGGACATCCGTGATTGGCCAAGGTTTCGCATGAGCAGGACTAACAAAGAGTCCCCATTTATTGTAGCTTTATGGCATCCCCAGTAGGGGAACCAAACCGATCGCTCTTCTCTTTCTAAATCGCAGAGACATTTCAATTCTGGGTGGACACAGCTGGGCTGAATTACCCTCAAACTTAAAACTCAAAGAGACTCTGGTGGTAAGATCTCCGCACCTGAGCTCCATCTTCATTCACCTTTCATGGCCTTTAAAGGGGGTCTAAATCTGGTCATAGATCCCTTCTGTCTGTATCACCCTGCAGGAGGAGGACAGACTCATAGCCCCCTTCTGTCTGTATCGCCCCGCAGGAGGAGGACAGACTCATAGTTCCCTTCTGTCTGTATCGCCCTGCAGGAGGAGGACAGACTCATAGCCCCCTTCTGTTTGTATCACCCTGCAGGAGGAGGACAGACTCATAGCCCCCTTCTGTCTGTATCACCCTGCAGGAGGAGGACAGACTCATAGCTCCCTTCTGTCTGTATCACCCTGCAGGAGGAGGACAGACCCATAGCCCCCTTCTGTCTGTATCACCCTGCAGGAGGAGGACAGACCCATAGCCCCCTTCTGTCTGTATCACCCTGCAGGAGGAGGACAGACTCATAGCCCCCTTCTGTCTGTATCACCCTGCAGGAGGAGGACAGACTCATAGCCCCCTTCTGTCTGTTTCACCCTGCAGGAGGAGGACAGACTCATAGCCCCCTTCTGTCTGTATCGCCCCGCAGGAGGAGGACAGACACATAGCCCCCTTCTGTCTGTATCGCCCCGCAGGAGGAGGACAGACTCATAGCCCCCTTCTGTCTGTATCACCGTGCACCGTGCAGGAGGAGGACAGACCCATAACCCCCTTCTGTCTGTATCGCCCTGCAGGAGGAGGACAGACTCATAGCCCCCTTCTGTCTGTATAGCCCTGCAGGAGGAGGACAGACTCATAGCTCCTTCTGTCTGTATAAACCCTGCAGGAGGAGGACAGACTCATAGACCCTTCTGTCTGTATCGCCCTGCAGGAGGAGGACAGACTCATAGCTCCTTCTGTCTGTATCACCCTGCAGGAGGAGGACAGACTCATAACCCCCTTCTGTCTGTATCACCCCGCAGGAGGAAGGAATTCCCTTCCATTTTATCAGGAACAGCAGAAAGTTAATGCCATCTCCTCTTCCGTCCACTCTCGGTTTTCTGTGGTTCCACATCCCTGACTCCTATGGGCACGACATAAAGTGGACCTGTCTGTTCATGTCATGTTTAACTCCAAAAGAACATCCCCATCGGACACGGGTCACCACAATGCACGTTCACATCTATGGCATCCAGAGCTGCAATAAAATCTGCAATGCTTGTCATCACACCGTGTCATGGATGGGTATGAACACAGGACTGCCCCTAATACGGCAATGTGGTGGGTCCAATCAACAATCAACCTTCTTTATTCTGACCACATGAAAGTAATGAAAGCTGAAATGTTATTGGTGGCTCAAGGTTAGTGCTTTGCAGGGGCGGACTGACCAGTTGGAAACTCAGGCACTGCCCGAGGGCCCGGGGTCAGTAGGGGGCCCCATGAGAGGCCCCTGGTACCTTTTTCATAAGTTTTTTTGAGTTTGGGCAAGGACACAGGGGCCCCATGATCCCCTATTGCCTGGGGGCCCCATGAGTTGTCAGTCCGCCCCTGGTGCTTTGTATTTGGGGTTGTCACCACACTGCTATTTAAAGAGACCCTTGTTGTCAGAACATTCTTTTTTCACCACTCCAATCCTCCCATATGGTTTAACCCCTTGGCGCCTGTAGCCTCCCTAGCGGTCTGATTATGTCAGTATTTATGTGCTCAAAGCGGTACTTTTTTTGCATGGAAATATGTAGTTTTTTTTATTGTAGGCCTGTAATTCTTAGGAATAACTCACTGAAATCTGTCCGAACAAGAGTCTAGTAAACATCCCGGGGATGATAAAACTTCAAACACGAAATCATAAATTATAACATAATAAATAATCATAAAAAATAATAATATAATAATAATAAATTTAATTCAATAATATAATCAACCAAAAACACTGAAATGTGAAATAGAGCGCCAAGTTCGCACATCGCTGAGCTCAGTCGCAGAATCATTTTCAGTGTCTGATGAGGAATTTCCCCCACGAATCATTATCACTCAATTCTGCAAGTGGTTCTGATTTACTATCGCTGTTCTCTAGCCGGTCTAAACCCACTTTTGACCTAAAGGGACGCTTTTTGGACGCCATGGACGTTCCTCAGTTTCCAGGCAGAAAGAACAGTAAAAATGCAGGCAGGGCGCCGGACAAAGCACTCGGGACAAAATGTATGTGAAATGGTTTGATACAGGAATGTTATACTATGTGATTTTAGTGTATTTAGTGAATGTCACTTTTACAACTTTCAAATTTCCCGCCAGTTCCGTCCCCCGTACGTCCCGACGTAGCAGGGAACGGAACCCGGAAGACAGATGCCGGCATCGGCCGGAGGAGATGGAGGGGACACTGCAGGGGGGACATCGCGGGAGCGCAGGACAAGGTAAGTGCTGGAGGGTGGTGCTGAAACTTTACCCACTTGGGAATACCGCCAGGGGGGGTTAAGGGGTTTGTGATGCTGGAAGGCAGAGCTGGGTTTAGGGTCATGTGACTGGCATGATTGGCTGTCACAGCAGTCATGTGATTGGAAAGGTCCCAATCACAGAAGAAGCAATTGAGACATTTCTGTGAAGTGCCGGTAAATGTTCCAGGGGAGCACGCAGGGTGCGCGCTTTTGACATAGGTGTGGGGTTTTTTTTTTGAGGGGGGGGGCGCAAATATCAGCCCAGGTGTAGAGAGGCAGCCTATTTGCGTACGGTCGGCGCCAACAGGTTAATGTGCATTTAACATATTTTATGCTTGTTATAGACCTGTAAAAGCGTAGACATCCATAAGCCCTATGACTTCTGCAGTGTGCCGCCATCTTGGACGCAATGTCAGCAACCCCAGCAGACGCAGAGCTGCCACTCAACTTTTGCTCATGGAATACCCACTACATAAAAGGTTATGTGGGGGGGGGTGAAGAGAGGGGTGGAGGAGCTGGGCCAGCGCAGGCAGTAATTAGACACTCCAAGAAGAGGTGATGTCTAAGGAGGGAGGGGGCTGTGCTGTAAATGTGACTTTCCTGCAGTGTCAATTCCCTAGCAAGTCTTTAAAGAGATCATTTATAGAAAAAGCATTTCCAATTATTCTGGGAAAACAGTGAAATATATTAAAGCCACCTTTTAATATAATTTAAAATTTCAGAAAACAGTTCAAAAACATACTTTGGGGGCCCCAGTAGATGCAGTTGTGATCAAAAGTGTGCGTACCCTTTGGAGAATTGTATACCGTATGTACCATTTTAAGGAATTTTAAACATTTCTCTTTTTTTTTATGAGATTTATATTCTGTATCTGTAGGTGATAACAGAATGGCCCAATCATAAAACAAAACATGGCAACAGGTTAACAAATGAAATGCCCCCCCGTTCAAAAGTCTGCACCCCCTTAGTTCTTAAACCCTGTGCATTGCCCCCTTTACCATCAATGACAACGTGCCGTCTTTTGTAATAGTTATTGATGAGGCTCCGAATTTTTGCCTTTAGAGCTGGCATCAGTGAGCCACCACCATGCTTCACAGTGTGGATGGTATTCTTGTCGCTATAGGCTTTGTTGCCCCCTCTCCAAACATAGCACTTAGAGCTGCGAAAATAAAGCTCTATATTGGTTTTCTCACTCCAGATTACAGTGTGCCAGAAGCTGCGAGGAGCATCAAGCCAGTGTTGAGTATATTGTAACTGGGATTTTTTTTTTTTGCGGCATTGGTTCAGTAAAGGATTCTTTCTTGCAACTCAACCATGCAGCTCATTTTTGTTCAAGTATTTTCGTATTGTGCTCCTTGAAACAACTGTGCTGTCTTTTTCCAGAGCAGCCTGTATTTGTCTTGAGATTATCTGTGGGGTTTTTATTTGTATGCTGAACAATTCTTGTCAGTTGTGGCTGTAGTCTTTCTTGGTCTACCTGACCTTGGCTCGGTACCAAGAGATCCCTGAATTTTCCACTTCTTAATAAGTGATTGAACAGTACTGACCGGCATGTCCAAGGCTTTGGACATCTTTTTATAGTCTTTTCCATCTTTATAAGGTTCCATTACCTTGTTATGCAGGTCTTTTGACAGTTCTTTTCTGCTCCCCATGGCTCAGTATCTAGCCTAGTCAGTGCAATCCATGTTAGAACTAACAAACTCATTGACTATTTATACACTGACACTAATTGCAATTTAAAATGCCACACATGTGGGAAGTAACCTTTAAATGCCGTGTGTGTCACCTTGTGTGTCTGTACCAAGGCCAAACATTCCAGGGGGGTGGAGACTTCTGATCCAGGGGTGGAGACTTCTGATCCAGGGGGTGGAGACTTCTGATCCAGGGGGTGGAGACTTCTGATCCAGGGGGTGGAGACCTCTGATCATGGCCTTTTGGGTGATTTCTGTTATCATTAGGATTTATAAAGGAGCCAAACAACTATTTGATAATAATTGGCTTCATATGATCATCATCCTTACATAGAAGGATGTTTTTTTTGGCATGATCAGTCGTATTTTCAATATCAATGCCAAAATTTCAAAATTTCTGTCAGGGGGTGCAAACTTTTGAGCACAACTGTACATCCAAAAATAATAAAAAAAAAGCACAAATTTAAAAA